ATCATTTTCCCTTCAATAGTTTTAATAACTATTAGTTTATAATTTCAGTTATTTTTGATGGTAAGGGGGATTGATCCCAGGTGTCCTGTATCACTGAGCTACCTCCCCAGTTTTTTTGTTTGTTTTTTTTTTTTTTTCCCCTATTTTGAGATACAATCTTACTGTTTTAGAGACTGGCCTGAAACTTGCAATGCTCCTGCCTCAATCTTCTGAGTCACTAGGAATATAGTTACATCCCACCACACCTGAAAAAATTTTCATGATTTTTGTCAGTTGTTGAATTTTAAGCATAATAGTATCTATAATATGCATGAAAAGTTGGCCTTTGTATTGAAGGAATAAATTGTGCTTGCTTAAAACCCTTGGAAATTAGCTTTTTTGTAAGTGCATAATCTAACAATATTGCTATAGCACATTTTAGTAAACCACTCCTTTTCACATCCAGACAGCAGTTTATGAGTTCTGCTCCCTCACATGTTGAAGTATTACATTAGAGAAGCACACGGGGGCAAGCATATAAAGCAGGGTTTATATAAAAGGGGGCAATATACACTTCTCCAGGGAAGGAGGAGGGGGCCATAGCTGGTATCCTGGTATCCCAAGAAGAGAGGGTATTTAGCCTTTTTTTATGTCCTTAGGCTTTATATGTGTTCTGCTGCTCTCTTCCCTTATCTCTCTCCTCCCTGAGTATGTGACTAGGTCCAGGAAATGCTCAGTGGGATGGCCAAAGGTGTGAACAGGTGGGCTGGAGAGGGTGGGGAGGAGTGGAGAAAGGGGTGTAATTAACAACTCCTTATAGGAGACAATCCCTGGGACAGGTTACCTTAGCAACAGGTTGGAACATGGGGAGATTATTGATTAGGGTAGATGAAGGACTCTGAAGGAATCGACGTTTCTATTCCTCCATTCTCTAGATCTGACTTTTGCCTGTCTGCCTGTCTAATTCTGGCCTCACTATAATCAGGTAGATTTTGACAATTTAATTCCTATGTTTATTTATTTTGGTATATCGTGATGTGAAAAATCACCAATGACAAGTAGATATCAAAGTTTTACTACATCCTCCATAACTATAACAGATCCATATCCATTTTGTGTGTGAATATAGTGCACATCAGATACCATTTATGGAAACTGTAATTCAGATACTGTTTATCATTATTTCAAATTCCATAAGATTTAAAGTTCTATTCAAGGCAGCATTTTGTTGTATGTTTGAACTGAGTCAGTTTAGGAGTACATATGGTCATGTAATTTCTTAAGGGATATACTTTTTGGCAAGGGGACAGTTTAGTTAGGGATTAGATTCTGGACTTAAAGATGCTTCTAAAAAATAAAAAAATCTTTTGGCACTCTGGAATGAAAAAAACAAATGTTGGTGTCATAATGTCAATAAATACATAAATTAATGCCCCAAAGTTAAATGCTTATCTCCTCATTTGTAGGTCAATACTACCTCCCTGTCTTTCTGGAAAAAAAAAAAGGAAAAGAAAAAAGTTAACTGACTTCTAATTCTTCATCATTCATCCATCCTCTCAATTACCGCTATTCCAAACATTTTCCTTGGATACAAAGGAGTCTGCAATAGCAATAATAATGTAATATAATATTTTCCAGATTTTTCACAAATGTATAATGCATGTGTTTTACATGTATAGTCACATTTGTATTTTATATAAAGTTTATACACACAAGCATTACATGTATAATTTTGGGGTTAAGTGTTTTATACTGCTACAAGCTTCTAGTTTGCATTTTTCTAAGAAAATTTTGAAAAATAATAATAAAGATATAACTATTTACCATAAATGAAGACATATTAAAATTTGTACATTGTAACCAGAAAAATTGAAGAAATAAAACAGAAATATGTTTGCTTACTGTAAAACAATATGATATCACAAATCTGCAGGAAACAATGGCTTATTTATAAATAGTAGGAAGAAACTGGTAAAAATTGCAAGCCTCAGTGTTATATTCAATATTACAGGATATCACAAAATTATTTCTAACACAATTTAAGAAATTTCTATATAATATAACCATAGAATCAACAACCAAATATAAGTGGTGTTATTAAATTTTGGATGGAGGAAATGTTACACAAAGAACAAAAATTGATAATATTTTTCCAAATAATAATATAATTTATTTAAATAAACTTTAGAAATATTATGAAAGGTAATCCTGAAAGGAGTATTATCCTTTATTTCTTTAATATATATTTCAATTCTTGTGTTCATACTGAAAAATTTTACCTAAGAATTCCAAATGAGAAAAAATAAAAGTATAAAGTGATCTTAACTGATATTTCCTAATATTGGTAAAATATATAATAAAATGTTTACCTTCAAACATTACTACTCATAAGTATAAATTATTGGGAGCTTCCTGGAAGCTTACAGAGGTATAAATTACAATTAAAGTGCAAAATATTAAAATAACAAATGTCTAAGTGAACTTAATAAAGAAGATCATGTGTTTTAATACAGATCAATATGGTTGATTAAAAAAGCATGCGTTAAACTACGACGCAAAGAAAAGACTACCAAATCCAATTTTGGATCAAATTAAAGCAAACTTATTTGTGTACACAGGAGCTGGCCAGGACTGTCTCTCCCAAAACCCCAGGCTATAGATCAGTATCTCTAGGAACACAGTTTTATAGCACAAAAAGTTGCAAACGGGGGTGTCTTGAGAACTTACAGTTAACAGGATTTTGACAAGCATTATACAAAGGCAGACAGTAAGTTAATGATCTAAATGGCTTAACATTTCGATATGGGGAATAAATTTAGATCTCAACATCACAATTTATGAGGTGTCACTGAGGTTTCAGAGAGGGTTGTTATCTTGTCAGGGAAAGCCAGGCATGGGTGAGTTCAAGGCACGAGCAGGAATTCCAAACAAATTTAGAAATCACAGTAATTTATAGTAAAACAAAAATTAATTTTTCATGACTTTATGATGAGATAGCTCCCAATCTTAAGATGCAATTAGGCTGGGTTTATCACATGAATTAAATAATCATCAAATATACGAAATCAACAAATCAATCAACAAATATATGAAAAAATATTCATCATCTCTAGCAATTAGAGAAATGCAAATCAAAACTACTGTAAGATATCATCTCACTCCAGTCAGAATGGCAGCTATTATGAAGACAAACAACAATAAGTGTTGGCGAGGATATGAGTAAAAAGGTACACTCATTCATCGCTCATGGGTCTGCAAATTGGTGCAGCCAATATGGAAAGCAGTATGGAGATTCCTTGGAAAACTGGGAGTTGAACCACTATTTGACCCAACTATCCCTCTCCTCGGTCTATACTCAAAGGACTTAAAAACATCATACTACAGGGACACAGCCACATCAATGTTTATAGCAGCACAATTCACAATACCTAAACTGTGGAACCAACCTAGATGCCCTTCAGTAGATGAATGGATAAAAAAAATTGTGGCATATATACACAATGGAATATTCCTCAGCAATAAAAGAGAATAAAATCATGGTATTTGCAGGTAAATAGATGGCTTTGGAGAAGATAATGCTAAGTGAAGTTAAACAATCCCCCCCAAAAAAAACAAATGCCAAATGTTTTCTCTGATATAAGGTGACTGACTCATAGTGTGGTAGGGAGGGGGAGCATAGGAGGAACAGACAAACTCCAGATAGGGCAGAGGGGTGGGAGGGGAAGGGAGGGCACAGGGAGTTAACAAGGATGGTGGAATGTGATGGACATCATTATCCAAAGTACATGTATGAAGACAAAAATTGGTGTGAACATACTTTATATACAACCAAGGGTATGAAAAATTGTGCTCTATATGTGTAAAAAATTGTAATGAATTCTGCTGTCATTTATTTTTTTAAATCAATAAAAAAGACAAATGATGAATGTGTTAACATCCTCTACTATTGATTTTTCATGAGAAGTTTTGATAAGTAATTACAGAGTTTACCTAGCAAATAATGATTCACAGTTTTATAAAACAAAGTGAACATGAGATTTCTCCAGAGAGACATATAAACACCTATGCCACTCTATCCTTTTATAGGGTATGGCTAGGTATAAACATGGCCATGGAGAGATACAATTGCCTTCTAATAACTTAGGTTAAGGGCAGAGCTACAGCAATGAAAAATACCCTTGACTCTATTGATGATTAATTGAATCCAAACACTTGGGAACTCAAAAGCTGGAGTGGACACTTTAGTTTCAAAATGGAGGAGCATAGTTGGGATTATTGAAAATAGACAAAAAGCTTTAGGTGATTTAGGTGTGGGAAAATGGTACAGAAATTTTAAACCAGTAGAAGAAGCATATATTTAATTTTTCTGCAAGGATCTTTCAGTGGTTAAACAGACATTAGAGCCATGGTTCTGTACCAGACGTGAAGACAAACACCACATTTTAAAGTCTTGGTTTAGCACTCTGTGCTACATTTGTCAGAGAAGATGATTTCTATTATTCCCACTAAGGTCAGATAGTATAAAATATAACTCCATGGAAACAAAATTATAAATTTATTATGTATAATCATTGACTACTAACCAAAGAACATTTCACAGTTTCTCTGCTAAAGGAAATATTTTGCAATTTCAACATTACAGGGTTTATGTTTAAAAATAATCATGAAACTGATATTTATTCATTGATTTATGTTTTTCTTTTTGGTACTGGGGATTGATTCCAGAGGCGCTCAACCACTGAGTCACATCCCCTACTATTTTTTATATTTAATTTAGAGACAGGGTATCGCTGATTTGGTTGGGGCCTCACTAAGTTGCTGAGGCTGGCTTTGAACTCAAGATCTTCTTGCTCCAGCTTCTCAATGCTGGGATCACAGGCGAGGGCCACCAGGTCCAGCAAAAGTGTTAATTTTTTGAGGAAATTAACAAAAGTGGCCACTAAGAGTTCATAATCCAGTGGTAGTGTTTGTCCCTTTAGGACTCACATTGTCATCACAGGCACTTAGTCATTTATAAAAGCCTAAAGTGCAATTTTCTGAAAGAGATTTCCCTTCATCACACCTCTCATGGCATGGATGACATCCTTGTTCCTAAGACTATAGATCAGAGGGTTCAGTATTGGGCTCAAGAAAGTATAAAACACGGCAATGACTTTGGACTGCTCTATAGACTTCTCTGAGGGGGGCCTTAAGTACATGCAGAAAAGTGTCCCATAAAATATGGTGACTGTCGTCAGGTGGGAGCCACAAGTGGAGAAGGCTTTGCGCCTGCCTTCAGCAGAACGGATCCTCAGGATGGCTGCAACAATGAAGAGGTAGGACAGGAGAATGACTGAGAGCGAGCTGGAGAGAGTGAAGCCAGCCACCACAAACATGGCCATCTTCTTGATGTGGGTGTCAGAGCAGGCCAGCAGGAGCAGGGGAGGATCTGCACAGTAGAAGTGGTTGATCTCCAGGGAGCCACAGAAGGACAGGTGGAAAGTCAGCAGTGCCTGAGACAGCCCATGAAGGAAGCCAGACACATAAGGGAAGGTGACCAGGGAGATGCAGACGTTCCTGGACATCCTGGAGCTGTAATGCAGAGGGCTGCAGATGGCCACATAGCGGTCCAGGGCCATGGAAGCAAGGAGGTAAAGCTCAGTGATCACCAGCGCAATGAAGAGGAGACACTGAGTGAAGCACCCAGCATAGGAAATGGTCTTGTCCTCTGAGAGGAAATCATACAGCATGTTGGGAGTGATGTTGGAGGAATAGCAGATGTCTACAAAGGAGAGGTGGCCAAGGAAGAAGTACATGGGAGTGTGCAGGTGGGGACTGGTGCTGATCAGCACAATCATGCACAGGTTTCCTGCCAGTGTGAGTAGGTAGACCACCAGAAACACCCCAAA